GCAAACCACCCTTTTCTGGTCGAGAACCACGGCCTCGGACTTAGAGGTGCTAATTCTCATCCCAGCGGCTTTACACTCGACCGCAAACAGCCCCAGTGCATGCTGCAGGTCCTGGTTCGAAGAGGCCAACAAGAGTTTTCAGCCCAAATGAGTTCCAATGGATAATTTCCAATGCTCCCCTGAGCCTTATGGCACCAAAATATGCCACAGCACAGCGGCCGTTAAAAACTGAGGTAGACTTAGCCAACCCACTCACCTGCTGCCATCTCAGCTGAAAACTGCTGTCCCGGACTGTGTACGTATACTTTTTGATTTGCTCCAACAACCCTTCATAGAGAACACAGGCTGAGGTGTAGTTTCCTAGCAGAGCATACTCCCGGGCCAGCTTCACGTTTTCACTTATTTCACGGAGACTCATGCTCCCACTGAAATCACAAAGTCAAATAAAACCAAATTATTGCGATGTTTGTGGGTAATCACGTTTAACTAAACTATTTCAAATCACTACATCATGCTAGGGCACTGATATATTTTCATTTGACACACTTATGCGCTGCACTTCTCCTGGTAAGTGCTGCACATTTTAAGTCAGCTTTGACAAAATCAGACCTTACCTGCGAGATTGCGGGTAGGCAAAAACCTTAAAACATTCGTAATATTATTTGTCATGATAACGGACATGATAATTACTTTTTGAGTTGTATTTGGATGGTATATATACTGTATGTATGTGTTGTGTGCAGTGGTGTGCTGTGTCACATATAAATGTGTATATATAATACATATTTTATGTTTTGGGAGTATTTATTTTAAAAGTAAAAAATAAAATACAGCGGTATCAGCTAGCATAAAAACTTGCAAATAAAAATTAATAATAAAAATAAATCGGAAATCAGAATTGCCCCATATGTATATATATATATACACACACACACATATATGTGTAACCACACATATATACACAAACATATATATATTACATACATACACATATATATTATATATATACACACACATATATATACACACACACACATATATATACATACACATACATATATATATATATATACACACATATATATATATATATGAGACGAGTAATGAGACATGTTATCGCCCCTACAGTATTTAGTGCAAAACTCACATCTTTGTTTGCATTGCTAACAGAAACACAGTATATAATTGACTGCACATACATCACTCCATTCTTTTCAACGGTTGGAGGATGATGATTCACATTTGAATTCTTATTTGAAATGAGACTTATGTCGTGTGAATTTGAGCCATAACACTCATCTTCAACCGAAGTATTTAAAAGTGGGCCTATACACAACAGACGCTCACGAACTAGAGTAAACGATAAAAAAAAAACAATCTCACTAATCTGTTGTGCGTTCGTGTGGAAATGTAAAAAGGTAACTCCCCATGCAAAAACCACGGTGCGTCAACTTAACGTCCCTGCGCTAACAAGACAATCGCGTTTCAGCTACTTTGATGGTGTTTAGGCGAAATTTGTTGTGTCATCTTAGCCTCCCGAGTTCGGAGCAAGTTTGAACTTTTTTGACGTAGCACTTTGGAACGGCTGCGGCAACGCGTCTGCGTGTAGTTCGTTCAGAAACATACACATGTTTAAAGTGCGTTATAGTAACAGAAACAACTTAGTTGCTTTATACTTAACTTTTCACTTGGTCAGCTGTGACGACTTCCGCTTTTGACGTTCAAACAGAAAACTACAAGCGCTAACAACCTCTCTGTGGCGTTAAGGAGAGCCAACTCCCAGACTGTGTGGAAAACTCTTAGTGATTTCTGCTCAGCCTTACTGACACTGCATGCAGGGGCGGGACTTGATGATGACCCGCACACGAGGTGACCAATCACATGCGAAAACAGACTAGGATTATACCATTATATAAGGGAGAGGGGGAGTCAGAAATTCCGATAGATAGATGGATGGATAGATCGATCAATAGATAGATAGATAGACAGACAGACAGACAGATAGATAGATAGATAGATAGATAGACAGCACTAGTATAAATATAAGGATGTTATGTTAACAGGTATATTAATAGTTTAAATATATGAACAGTCTAAATAGTTGCGTATTTAAAAATGAAATAAACAGTCAGCTATATAGGCAGTAGTGAAAGATTACTTCACAGCGAAAGATTAGTTCACAGAGAATGATTCGTTCACAGCGAAAGATTAGTTCACGGCGAAAGATTAGTTCACAGCGAAAGATTAGTTCACGGCGAAAGATTAGTTCACAGCGAAAGATTAGTTCACGGCGAAAGATTAGTTCACAGCGAAAGATTAGTTCACAGAGAGTGATTCGTTTATAGTAAAAGATTAGTTCGCAGAGTGTGAGTTGTGAGTGATTCGTGAGTTCAAAAAAGGAACGAATCTTTAATATGACTCGTGACTCCCGAGTTAGTTACTCTCCGTGAACTAATCTTTCGCCGTGAACTAATCTTTCGCTGTGAACGAATCATTCTCTGTGAACTAATCTTTCGCTGTGAAC